TTTTTGCAATTCATGATTAATAAAAATAATAAAATTTTACTTACAAATTAAAATCAGAAGAAATTTAACAAAGTTATAAACCGTTGCCCCGCAAACGTCTAGTCTGGTCTAGTACACTGATAGTGCTACTTGTTCATTAATGGCGCGTATAATTGAATTATGTCGTATACCGAATAAAAGTCGTATACCGAGCAAAATTTGTTTCGTCCAAACAGGACATATTCCGAATTGGACGTATTTTAAAGCAGACGTATACCGAGGTACCAGTGTATTTTCAATTTGATCAATTTTCTGGAACGTTTACAATCGTTCTATAATCGAACCGATACACAATAACAAATTCGAATTTAAAAAGGTTCGAACATTTGGTTAAAAAATCGAAATACAGTATATAAAAATATTTGTAACAATGTCTGAAATGTTATTAATTTAATACACTTAAGTACTTAACGAAGACTAAACGTAACAAAAAATCGCATGTAAAATAGTACAGTAGAAGCTGTTCTTCCAGTTAAGACTTAATCCTCTCCCTCTCCCCCCGCGGGGGAATTTCGAAAAATCCCTTCTTAGTGAGCGTTTTCATGACGTACCCTAACTGTGTACCAAATTTCACCTCTTTAGGTTCAGCGATTTGCTCTGGGCGATGATGAATCAGTTAGTGAATGAGTCAGTCAGGACAAGCAATTTTATATATATAGATAATACATCGTTTATGCATTAAAAAATAATAATTATTGTTCATTATCTTCTCATTTAATTTTCGCTTATCTATAATTATCTCAGTATCATATTTTTGTGAGAAATGAAAATTCGGAAGTTATTTATTTAGAAACCGCAAACTGAACGCACTTATTCGAATTAACATCAGTCATAAACCACCAGTTTTATTTCTTTTTCCATCTTATTGTTTGTGTGTGAGATAGTGCGCACTATATAAACCATCTGTATAATAATAATTTAAAATACCATAATAAAATTCGATTTCTATGCATAGAATTTTATAACTTCTAACGAATGCTCAGAATGCTATGTCTATGTTAAAATTTTTCTTTCTTTTTATGTAACTTGTGTGTCGATTATTTTTACCAACAGTTTGTTGATACTGTAGTGAGAAAGTACTCTCTAAAACGAACCTATCCAACTTCTACAGTATAAACGAATTAATCGCTCTGATTCATTGAGCCTACTTATCAAACTTTAACCATTTATTACATTAATATTTACGTAAATCTTCATTCATTCGAAATGTTAAAAATGTTATTTGTTAAAATTTTAAGCCAAAAATTATAACTGTGAACCAAATTCGTCGGTTCATACGGTTTCAGCCGACCAAAAACAAAAAAAATTCAGACTATTAGGCAGTGGTGCTTTCTGTCAAGTTTTGGTTTTGGTAAGACCAAAATCATTTGTGAGAATTCATTTTTATTATCTGTTTAATGTTTAACCTATGGTTTTAACGTTTTAAATAATGTTTTACGCATTATGCCATATTCGCGTTTTTTTTTAAACTTTCCTTTACCTTAACAAAAGATTTTTCTAAATTTGTCTTTTAAGCTCTGTAGGCACGAAACATCATTTATAACACACAACTCTATTTCTCAACTTTAGTACAAATTTTAGAAAACCATTTCTTCCAAAAGTCGGGGTTTGCCTGCAATTAAATTTTCGCTTTTTAAACGATTTATGATTTTCTTAGAATAGTCAAATAGAAACTCCCGACTTATACAATCAGTGACGTAATCCTAAATTCATTAAATGATTACAGTAGAGCGTCGTTTATCCGAAAGCTGGTTATCCGAAACGTCTGTTATCCGAAAGCATTCTAGTCGGCAAATTTAAATTTTCGCTAGTGCTGTGGCGCTGCAATCTTCGGCTATTTCTTGGGCTACTCAAATATTTTACGTTTTTGATACTAAATTAACATCTGAAGTATAATTTTTTATTGTTTTTATATTTTTCAATAAATTTATTTTGTTTGTACAGAATAAAAAAATAATTTTTAACGATACAATAGTCTTCCTTAGGCTTAACATTGACGAAAATTCAACGCAAAGCGACACGCAACAGAGAGAAATTTCAACATGGGATAAATTAATATATTTTTTCATACATGATTCATTATCCGAAAAATAAGTTATCCGAACCACCCCAGTCCCCAATTGATTCGGATAAACGACACTCTACTGTATACTTAGCAGCATTTCAAGGAATACACTCCTATCATGAAACAAATTGTTAGAATACACACAGATGCAGAACAGGAACTATGAGTATTTCCTGAAATGTGAGGTACAAAATTTATTTCTAAAATTCAAAATAATTTTAAAACATCTTATAAATATTATTTTAAGAATATTTATTACTACTTGTGTATTATTTTATAAACAAACAATTAATTCATGCCTGTTATTCTATTATATTTCTTTACTAGCAAAGATACAATACCAGGCTTCACTCAGGAAAATGTATCATAATTCTATCAAAAGTTATAAAATCAAATGATTTTGGAAATGGATTATAGCCCATGTCCTGAATATAAGTATAAAGTTTCCTTAAGACCATCACTTTGTTTTTTCCACAGCTCTGGCAGCTCACAGATATAAAAAGAAGCTCAGCTGTTTGGATTTGACACTCAGACAGACATCAGTCATGAATCCAATTTCGTACACATATATAGATTCAACCAGGTTATTTCTATCATTTTATTAATATTTGAAAAACTACTAATATGACCCTTATATATAAAAAATTTCATCTTTAGAATTTGTTTTCCATAAAACAGCAGGCAACTGAACTGAATATATTATAATCTTTTATAGTACAGTAGAGCATCGATTATCTGACCCCCGATTAACCGTCACATCGGTTAACTGACCGTTCTAGTTGGCAAATTTCAAATGTCCGCAAGTGATGTGGCGCTACAATATTTGGCTATGTCTTGGATACTTTAATATTATTTTTGTTAAATTTTTGCATGTTTTAGCTGGCATCAACAGCTCGACCATTGAAGGGAGGCCAGTATTTAAATGAGACTTAATTTTCAAATTATGAGTGGTTGTTTGTTTTGTGAGCAATAAAATAATTTAAAAATAATTTTTAACAATACAATAGCAACGATTATTATTTTTTAAAAATTTGTTAGGCTAAACATCGATGAAAATTCAACGCGAAGTTGGTTAATGATATACTAATTACATGGGATATACTAATATACTATACTAATAATGTATTTTTTTCATTCTTTTCAGTTATCCGACCAACATGAGTCCCCAATTGAGTCGGATAATTGATGCTCTACTGTAATACCAAACCATTATAAAATGAAGATGTAGCATTGCTACAAAATGTGCTTGAATGTTCAAAAGCTTAAAAAAATTCAAAATTTTTCCATATCATAAATAATATATAAGTGAAAGAAAGAATAAGATAAAATAAAATTTAAAAATAATAATTTTGTATTAACATTCCTGAAAAATACTTTTTATATGGACTTAATGGAAAAAAAAAGTCATAACTACAGTGCAATTTTAAAGTAAATATTAAAATAAATGTTAGACAACATTATCACCATAAAAAATTTTACATTAACTTATATTAAGAAATTATTACGTATAAAAATTCTTTTTACCTGTGTTATCAGGTTGTGAAGAAGTAGATGGTGATGCCATTTCTAAATAATCACTTGAAATGTCATATTTTATAGGAGTAACAAAATCATCAGTAGTATTTGTAAGATTCAAAAAGAGAGACGAATGATCATATTTCGTCATAGGCACATAATTTTCTGAATCTATTTTATTCTCTGAAAAAATTTTTTAACATGATATAATTATTTACTTAAAAATATGAAAATCTTCTATTCAATAAAGTACTGAAGTATAGCTATTAAAGCTACTAATTATATTTTTTCTTAGAGGGGCTAATATACGTAAAAGGAATAAAATAAAACAATAATTATAATTTTTTTTGATCTGTGAAAACTGCATTTAACTAGCATTAATTAATTTATTAAAAATAAATACCAATATTTTAATATCATTCAATATAAAAATTAAAAATGATTTTATTAGTACTTTTGATCAGACCTCATATATGAGGTCTAATCAAAAGTATCAAACCTTATTTTTTTTCATTGCAAGTATTTGCAAAGTAGAGAAGAGACTATGTCATCATATGACCTAGGACCCTATTGCATGTGTGTAATTTTGGTGAGCCTATCCTACCCTGCAGTCACTTTCAGGCATTTGTGATAGTTGCACATTTAAGCTGTTATCACATTAGTGATTAAATGAAAATGAGGTAATGTGTTAAAAAAAGAATTTTCATTCAATTTTGTCATCTATGAGATGCTGTTAGGCACACAAAACCACAGCTCTGGCAGTCTGGTGACTGATTCATTCATCACAAAAGTGCTCCAGCCCACAGATGTCTCTCATCCAGGCATTCCTTGCAAAACACAGGTTCAGCAGCCTCCTTATACTCCAGACATGGCTCTGGCCAATTTTTGGCTCTTTCCCCAAACTCAAGACGCCACTCAGGAAAGAGCTTTCAAGGTGCAGAGGAGATCAAGACTAATGTGACAAAGTGCCTGATGAAGAGATTCCAATAAATGACTTTGAAAATGCCTCCAATAGTGGAAGCATTGCTGGAAGAAATGTGTGAACTCAGAAGGGGACTAGTGTTTCAACCAAATAGATAGGTAGGTTTCTTTTTCCTGATCTCAGATTGGATATTTTTTTATCAGACCCTATATGTCTTTTTTAACAATAATTACAATATGAATTTCAATAGAAGAATTGATTTATGTAATAATTCAAAACAATCAATTTAATTAAATTTATTATAAATATACTGATATCCCCAGTATAACATGGTAGTTAAGCTCCCAAAAATTCCCATGTTATGTAAATCCATGCTATATGAAACAAAAGCCTAGAACAAAACATAGAGTTAGGTTCCAAAAGTTAGCAAAAGTATACTATTTTTCATAATTAAGAGAAATACATTTATTGAAATGCTTTATTATTAATTATCACAATCAAAAGTATTTCACATTAATATTAATTTTTCTTCACTACTAAACACCATTAAATGAGGTGGTTTTCCTTTTGGCAAAATATTGTCATCATCTGAGCATTCCTGTTGACCAAAACAATTAAATAAATGAAAATTTGCATGTGTCATTGTTATAATGCACAAGTGCGAGTATGAACTCTTGGTATAACAATGAAATCTTATTCATTTTGTATTTGTTTTACTTTTTTAAAAGCATGTTTGCCTAAATTGTGGCTCATTGTAATGTTACGCATAATCAAAGTGGCCCACGAAATAATTTGGGTTGGCCAGGCCTGACTTAAATAATAATTCTAAATCAGTTCGGCTTAGGCCAAACTAGATTGTCCTAGGATACACTAGTTTGGCCTGAAATTTTAATATGTAAATATGTAAATACAGTAAAACCCCGTTTAACACGGGGGATGTGTTCCTAGATGACAAAATGTTAAACGAGGTCATTTTAACATAGAGTAAATAGGGAAAAGGAAAAACACGCAACCAAAAAGAAAAAATTTTACTTTAATTTTAAGTTATTTTTATATTAATTTGTATAATAATAATATATGTTAAATAACACACACATATTATTATACATTTCTGTGTGTATATTAATTAGTTCATTTTTTGTGATGAAGGTCCAGACTTTTCTGAAATTCTTGTTTTTTTTTTTTGCAATAAAATCCTGAAGTTTCATTTGACGCTTTTTTTCTTTCCTTAAGCAAATGTCGGCAGCAGAAGATTGCATCCAAAACGCCTTGTTTTGCTTTTGCATTCCTTTCAAAATCTAGATCATTCGCTACAATTTGATCAACAATTTCGGTTATCGTTACCAAACTTTTACTAAGGAAATCTGTAGAGAAATATTTTGGGTTATTCATTTTCAGAATCACTATTTTCCAGTTCTACATGGATTTCTTGTTTTGCCAATTCTTGAAGGTCGTTGTTGATAAGACTCTCACCTGAAACCTGCGGTAACTCCTCAATATCCTGTTCGTCTACATCTTCTAGTCCTGCTGTATCGATTAGGTTGAGTTTAATCAACCTAATGATACAGCGATAGGCTCTTCTCATTGAGAATTTTTGGATACCTTCAGCCATAACTTCTTCCACACTTCATTCGTGCATTTATCAGTTAATTCTTGCCAAGCAAAGTTAATATTGCCTATGGATTCCATGATATATTTTTTCCAAAACTGCACCAAACAAGCATAAATTTAAAAAAAGTACACCTTTTTTGCCACCTTTTTCTGATTGGTTTGTGTTCGTAAATATTGTATTATATAGGAATCAATAAAATGCTGCAATAATTTAAATCAGCATAAATTTTGAGCTTTTTTTAAGGCTTCAAGCAGACAGCATTATATTGAATCAGCATTAAGCAAGGCAGTGTTAAGCAAAGCCTTACTGTATATTTTAATCTAAATCATAAAAAACATGTTTAGTGTAATTTTCTATATAACTCACAAATGTACTTCAAGGACTGTGCAAATCTATTTAAAAAACCCTTCTGTTATTCCTCACATAATCTCTAGAAAGTGATACAGTAAAGTTTTGTGTTTTTTAGATCAGTATATTACTTTGTTAACAA